GGATCTGGGGGAACATCTATTCACCAGAGCGCCCCAAGGCATGACAAGGTTGAACTGTTATAAACTCCTGCAACATTGTTTCAGCCTAGACATAAGGAAGAATTTCTTTACTGTTTGGGCCCCCAAGGTCTGGAATAGCCTGCCCTCGAAGTGGTTCAAGCACCTACTCTGAACACCTTCAAGAAAAAATTGGATGTTTATCCTGCTGGGAACCTGTGACCCCAGCTGACTTCCTGCCCCTGGGGCAGGGGGCTGGATTGGACGATCTTCCGAGGTCCCTTCTAGCCCTAACATCTGTGAAATCTGAGCCAGAGACAGCCTACCTGGCTGGAGCAAGTTAGGGGCGGGCAGGTTTCTTTCTCCCCCCTCCACTTCTCCCCCATGTGTTAAGGGAGCCTGGGACACTGCCTGCCACCTTGGGCAGCAGCAAGCATGGAGGGGGGAGGCATTCCACACCCCCAACCCCAGCCTTGCCTGCTGTTTCCCAGCAGAACAGGCTGTTGTGTGGCCAGGCAGGGTATCCCTGGCCCCCTGTATTTGTGTGAGGAAGTATGACCCCCCCCCGCTTGCTGTCTGGGAGACCCAGGCTGTGTTCCAGCCTGACAGGGTGTCTCCAGTTCTATGCTTGTGTCCCTGGGGAAACCCCAGGGGTCCTGGAGGTGACTCCTTAGTCATGTCATTTGATTCTTCCAGTGGTGCTGCAGACCTCCTCCAGCTGGTCAACAGCAGTACTATAACCTGTTGTTCCTTTTTCCCTTCTCATGGCAGCCTGTCCTATGCATGTGTGGCTGTTTACATGATGAATGTCTTCATCATGCAGGGAAAGTGATGCCTGTATTGGAATAACATCTAGTGGCACCCTAAATATATAAAGGAGATGTTTTATATAACTCTTTCATACTGAATAGTAAATGTATAAAGCCACTGTGCATTTTCTCCTGTTTACTCATTTAACTTTAAAAAAAAATTAAGGTTAGATAATTTAAAATATTCCATAGTAAGAAACTACAATAACCATTTTGTGAGTTTAATATAATTCTCCTGAAGTTGACTGTAAAGCTGAATTCTGATTTCTGAGTTCTCCATGTTAATCCATGAGAGAAAGCAGCAAAGGCTTTAAAGTTTAAAAGACCTGACAATTTTGTATATGACAGAGAATCCCAGAATATGCAATTTCTTACTACAGTGCAATGGGTCTTGCATGGTGGAAATTGTAGCCTGGTTTTGGAGGAAGTTTTGGTGATATGTTATTTTTATTCCCACCCAAGTCTGTTGCTTGCGGTCTTTTTATTCCATGCTCTATAATTTAAAAGCTGGGGTGCCACTGATAAATGGCAAAAATGGAAAGAAGCAGACTCTGAGGTACTCGCTAAATAAAAAGCCGAATTGTGTGTTAACAGGTTGATAAACATAAGGAAAAAATCTAAAGGATGTAAATGAATATGTTGCTTCAGACTTCATTTCTCTCTTGCATGTTTTCTTAATGCTTTTTAAAAACTTGTAACTTGCAGTACTTAGGCAAGGATATTAATAAAGGGTATCAAAATAAGAGTGGTGTATAACTTAATGTGTTAGGTTGCATGATGGAAAACCTGAAGTTTTAAATTGTACCTGCTGAGTTACTAATGCAATAGTAAAAATATAAATATTGCAACAAGGTGTAAAGTCATTTTGGGTTACTGGTTATGTATGAAAGATGCAATTAAAAACTAACTTCTTGTTGTAGAACATCATTAGTGTTCAGTGCTCATAGATTGGAAACATAACATCATAGGGCTTATTTCCACTACTTTTTTCCCTAGTGCTTTGTAAATTGCTATTTTAATTATTCTAATATAATAAAAGCCTCTGTCTAGTCTGTCTGTCTCGCTTTATTCGCACTCTGGTTGTCTTGGTAGCCAATCACAATGCTGACTGAAACAATTAGGGTGCTCCAAGAGCATTTTGGACAGGAAGTGATGCAGTGGGGGAGGGGGGGGCAAGAGAAAATTGTCATTGTTTTCTTGCTCACAGTTAGGCACACATGCTGAAAACAAAGCAGTGGAATAGGGAAGGGCATGTAGAAGAAATATAATGTATATTAGGTAGCTTAAGGTGGAAAATCCTCCCCTTTTCTTTTTGAGAAAAGACTGTGCCGAAAATAACCTAGAAAACCATGTTAATTTCTAAAAATGATACTTTCAAATTTCAGAGTTGGGTGCTTTAAAGAGAGACCTTTCCAGTACATCCTTGATTATCCAAACCTTTTAGGAAGTGTGTGCTCAAAGGCTGTTGGGATAAGTGAAACTGTAACAAAGTCCATAAGAAGTACAACTGTTCATTTTGTTGTTGTTGTTTTTAATTCATCTTCATATTTCCAGCAGTTGCTTTCTCTATCCTGTACCATTCATGTACAACAGTGTATCAGGTCCCAGACTTTACCGGGCTAATAACTTTGCTTCTGTTGTTAACACCTTTATCTTGCTAGTTTGCTCATTGTTTTTATTTACCAGGACACATGTAATAACAGCACATCTCAGTGTCAGCAATTACTGCGCCTAATAATGGAGGGTATGTTGTATTGCCTTTACTTAATATTCAAATATAAATGTCCAGACTTCCAAAAGTAAAGAGCATTGCATCTCCCATTGATTGCAACAGATTTTGTGGGGCATCAATATTTGGGCCCTGACCTACAATAACGGGTTAATTTTGTGATAGATTTTAACTTGGCCCCATTTGGCCAATTTATGACATAATAAAATGCAAACCAGCCACAAAGATGTTCCACATTTGATGTGGTAGACCTTTTGTGGTTGGTTTATATTGTGCTTTAATTTGAATATGTACTGGGTTGCATGGCATGGCTTTAAATGTCTCTACCCAAGGAGCCTTAAAGCTACCCCATGCAGCCTGATGCTTGATCTGTGGCACAGGGATCTGGGAGCTCCTATCTATAGCACCTTGGCATGCCCCTGCAGTCAGCTGAGCACCCTGGCAGACTTGCAATGGGATCAGAGGAATTTTGTCCCAGATCCCAGCAATCGCGTGTCCTGCCTTGCTGTCGTGCATGGCAGAATACACAATTGTTGGGATCTGGAATAAAATTCCTCAGGTTCTGTTGCACCCCTAACTACATCTGTCAGGGGTCCTTGTTGTTTAAGTGCCGAATTTTAGGCACTTTCTCATGAAAATATTAGTTCAAGTGTATTAAATTTCTAACAGTTTAGGCTGAGCACTAAACGAAACCGTACGTGGATGTGTTAGTAAAGTAAGCCTTGTTCTCAATGCCAGCTACTTAGTATTGTCAGAAAAAGCATGTTCCAGCTATATATTTTTCAGTTATTTTTATCTTTCAGTACCAATCTAGTCCTAGTAGAGTTACTAACCAAAAAAAATAGTTGATCCTGTAATTTAAGATATAGCTTTGAAGTAATAACTTTGGTATACTTAAACAGTTGTTACTTTTGTGCATCTGTAGGTACAACAATTAGTTTATGGATGCAAATATTAGTTGCCGCTGACTAGCTTCATCTAGTTCCTGGAAAAGACAGGTTTTAAAAAAAATTGATAGTAAAGCGCCTGTGCAGACTTAACACAATGCCAAAAGAAAAACCTTTAATTGTGATGTACTATGTGTGTAGTATGTGTAATTTGCCTATAGATATTTTTTGCCAAACTTGTTGACCCCTGCTAGTGACTATTATGAAGAAGTTATTGTGATGATCCGTGGGATGTCATGAAGGAAACAAGTGTTTCTTAACTACTTCTAATGTGGTATCTGTATTGCTGTGTAAATGTAAATAGAAAAATGTGGTAATTTATTCTGTAGTTTTATTTATAACTACAGTTGACATTTAACAATAGGAAAAATATTTAAGCAGTGTCTCTTCCTAACACTTGTCTTTTTACATATGTGCACAGTTTTAATAGATGCACTGGGTACTGCTGATTTTGTTTTAGTATACCAACTTGTACATTGGATTGTTATTAATTGTTATTGATTATGGATTTGATTATTAATATATGTAGCAGTATGTTATTCAAGGAACTCAAAATTCATAGTCTAGGAATTTTGAAGGAATTTTAGCAATATTTAGAACATCTGGATTTCACCAGCTGTCTACCTCAGTCCTGGTGCTGAACTAAGATCTGTCCATATGGTGTTTCAATGGAAGGCTATCCATGTGAAGCAAGTGGCATGAAAGGCTGCCTTTCACTTTACACTTTCCCTCTTTCTTCTCCATACCTATAGTGATTTTGTATTGTTCCAGTTACAAGTCTGCAACCCATCCTGTCCTCCTACTCCTCCTCTTCCTCCCTCTTCCCTGCCCACCAAAGAACCTTAACAATCTCACTTAACTTGCATTCAGGGGCAACCTACACTTAGGCCCCCAATGGTTTTCCTTTAATGGTGTGATAGTACATTTTTTCAGTAGAGCCTCACAGAAATATTGAATGAATTACATAAAATATTCTCGTTTTGGAGAAGGAAAGCTGTTTTTCCTTAAGTTGAACCTGAAAATGTTGACTTTTAAGCAGAACAGTACTGCATATTTAAGGGTCTTTTGTGTTGAATGAATTTGACCCAAAATGCTTAAACAGTTGTTTGTATTAATACTATGCTGCAGGATAATGTAGGGGGAAAAAAACCTCTTTAGCCACTGGTGGCAGTTCTCTGTGTACCAAAAATATTAATCTTTGAGGGGCAAAAGAGTTATTCTATATAAGAATTATTGTGACAAGATTAAAATAAATAAATGTGCTTTTTTTTTTCTGACGTAGTCTTCGGAGCAGAGAGGATGAGAGAGTATCAAAACCAGGAGTTATCTCTACACCTGTAAAGAATGCAGATGATATCCCTCTTTCTAAAACCATGGAAGAAGTTGTAGTTGAAACAAATGAAAAACAAACTCCACCTTTGCCAGGTATATATGTAAAAGTGTCAAGTTATGCATGGTATCTCTAATGTAGCCCAGTAGGATTAGCAGTCTTTCCTGCCAACAGAATGTTTTCTCTGAAAATTAAAATACTAGGTAAAACTTAATTTGTGATAGATTCAGGGGGGGAACATTCTAATTATATGAGTGCAACTTACTTGGCTGAAATGTAAGCAAGAAACAACAGAAATAAAGTCTAAGCTTTTTGTTGTTTTTCTGGACATGGAATTACTGTGTTTGTGGTTCTGTTCTGAAAGCATGCTCTATGCTGAGATTAAAAACCGTTTGTTACAACTGGGTTGTTGCATGGTTTTGCCTAAGAGTTATTTCATAGGCCAGTATCAATAAGAGATTTTGTTTTTTCTGGGTGCCAAGATAGACGGCCTCCTGTAGCTCTGCTCCACTAAACTATAAGGGCTACTGTAGCATGTAGGTTCCCTTTTCATCCCCCATTTTGCAAGGCACTTGTCCTAACACACAATGGGGGGGAAAAAGCTATCGCTGCTCTGGAGAGTGGTATAAGAAAGATGACTATGGATGGATTCAAGCATTCAGGTGAATGCAAGGAAACAACGAAACAATATTGGTCAGTCTGATAGTCGATGGTCTCAGCACACCAGCAGGCAAACTAAATTGGGGGTGTTTTAGGCATCGTAGCACAGTAGTTTTCAGAAATTATTTGAAAGAGAGTATTGAGGCAGTTTTGGAAGAGCTTCCCTCTAAATACCTGCAAGAATGAGGTGCCAGATGGGAGAGAGCACAAAGTTTCTTAGCTGAAAAATGTTATAACAAGTGGGCTATAGATGCTGGTATCAGGGGCATGAACAGCTGCAGGAGTTAATATTGCAGCAGTGAATAAAAGTGGATAGAGAACCTTGAAAGTGAAAACAAGTTGTTGGTTTGATGTGAAAGAGAAGTGAAGCCAGAAGAGGGCTTAAGGAAAAGGATATAGACAAAATGATGGGCAAGGAAAATGATCTTTCTAGCAGCCTTATTAAAGAATGAGTGGAGCCAAAGAATGAATTTGTTCTATCCAAAAACAAAATATGAGATGGGAATTTTAGCTGGGAAATTCTCTACCTTAGAGATGATATCCAGGAAAACTCTGAGATATAGACATAGCTAAGATACAAGGACCTAAAGAGATGTTTGGGTTAATGATATTTCTCACATTATGGTCCTGAGTGGCATGACTGGGATTGAAAGCATGTGTTTTGGACTATGGAATAGGTTTATTGTGAGGGGGTTTATTTGTGTAGAGAAGAGTTGAGGCAGCATTTGGCAAAGGAGGAAGAGGAGGAGGGAAATGATGGGATGGGATATGAAGGGGTGGAAATACTAAGGCAACAAGGTACATGAAAAAAGCAGATAAGAAACTCCTACAAAGGAGAAGGGGAGCATTGTAGGAGGCAAAAGGCAGACAAAAGGGTGAGAATTTTCTTGTTTGTCATTTTCCCTCTTGGAAGGAAATAGAAAAAAATGGATTCAGGATGGTGAGTTTGAGGAATAAGTTAAAGGTATCAGGAAAGTCTCTGGGTGCATGAGGTATAGTTAAGTTGGAGAAGCAGAGTTGCTTAGCAAGGTTGATGGCAAAACTCAATTCTTTGGCTAGGGACAGACATTCAAAAAGCCTCAGCCTGAATTGATTCAATCTTTGCAGGTTGGTCTAACCTGGCTAGGCTGAATCACTTTAACTGCGCAGATATTCCAGAAATGCAGGCATGTGCCTGCAGTGGCTCAGGCTAGATGCTGGGGAGGGAGAGAGCAGCCCTCCCTTCCCTTCTACAGGGCTGAGCTGAGCGGGGTATGGCCAAGCCCCAGCAGGATTAGGGAGGGGTTCCCCACCCCCCTTGATAACGGAGCATCTATCAACTCTGTTATCAGCATTTATCTCCCTATCAGAAAACAAACAGCCTCTCTCATTAATTCAAACTCTTCTTAGAGGAGGAACGGAGGGACATTACCAGCTGAGATATGATTAGCTCCAAAAAGCCTTAAGCCAACACTGCTGTCTGCCACAGCATGGACTGTAGCCAGCATGTGGTCTGCTAGCTAATGCTGAGATGTCTGTATAAAGCAGAGGGGATGATGATCCCTGTTTAGCGGGGAGGGGGGAAAACAGGAGGAAACCAGGCAGACGCCTCTGTGCCTGCAGTTTCTGCCAGAGCTCCAGCAAGAGAGCAGAGGGGAGGAGCCAGCCATGCTCTGGAGCAGAGAGCCCAGCCCAGAAAGCATGCTGGGATGCTGGGGGACTCAGATTTAACATAAACCAAGGAGGGGTCTGGGACAGGCATTGCATATATCGGTTTGACCCAAATCAGTTAAGTCTGATAATACATTCAACCAGGTTTATGTCAAACCAGTTTCAGCCATTTTCAAACCAGTTTATGTGCACTGAACATTTGTTCTGTTACAGGTGTAAACCAGATTCTGGTCACTTAAACTGGTTTATGTGTAATGTCTGTCCCTAGCCTTTGGGTCAGGCTTGTCTGTTTTGTTTAGCAGTACTTTAAGTGGAAATCCTAAGCCTTGGTGTTCAAAGCTTAAATGGCTGGAAAGAAGTGTTTGATGTACACGTAGGTCCACACTCCCCATTGTAAAGATAGTATTTAGTTATTTATTCAGTATTCCTTGTGTTATGAAACTTCAGCTCAAGTTACTGTGGCACGGCGGATGTGGATGAGCCAGTGCAGGAGCAAGACCAGCTTTAAAAATTCTGCTTGCTCAGGAAAGAGACTCTTGTTTAGTCTCAGGAAGTATATAGGCATTTGTTCCTGTGCAAGAAACTGTTGGGCAGAAAAGATCTTCCTGCTTAAAAGCCATCTTTCTCCCTGATCTGGTGTGTTTCTTGCAGGAGAGAATGCATGAGTGCCCATACACTCCTAAATTGTAGCAGGAGAGTAGCATTTCTCCTGCTTGAAAAGTAACACCTGTCCAGACCCCAAATACTGTTTCATTATTAACACTTGGAAAATTTGAAGGTGTGTGGGAGAAGGACTCTACATTTTCACAATGATACAACAAGCATGAATTATGTTATGCTTTTCCAACAGTTTCGAAAACTAATGGTTTTCTTGGTATCTTAATAGAACCAAAGCCAGTGTACGCACAAGCAGGACAGCCAGATGTCGATTTACCAGTCAGTCCATCTGATGGTCCTGTACCTAGTTCAACTCATGAAGATGGAATGCTTCGGTAATATGTTAAATTATTTTAAAATTTTAAAATGCCCCAATTGTTGAGCCATACCCAGCTGTCATTTAAGTCAATGAGCATGTACATGGCAGTTGGTAGAGTAAGAGGGGGTTGGGATGGCAGGGGTGCAAAGGCACATTGTTGACAACCCAGAGGTTGCAAGTTGGAGGCCCTAGGATAAGCGCTCATGGCACAGCCCTGTCAGATTCCAGTGAATCTGTGAATTCTGATAAATACCTTGTCACAAAGACATGAAAAAGGAAGGATGGTAGAGTAAGATGTTCTGTCTTTCTAATTGTTCATAAATATTAGTGATAGAGGTGAGGCTCTTTAGGCAGCTCTGTTAACACTTTTACATGACACATTTTATTGTTTTGAAACTTTAATTTTCTAGACAGAGCAAATGTTTGCAATAATGGCTGTCTTAAATATGTAATGCCTGAATTATTTTCGTTGATATTATCCTAATATGGATTTTGTTCCATCTCTCCCAAATCTTGTTTTTATTGTTTTTAAAGCAAAAAAATCCATACAGATAGGAGCAGCCTTCTGATGATAAACTATTAGATGGTGTGCAAGGTCAAGAGAACAAAACTGTGTAGAGTAACAATATGTAGGTAGGCTGGTAAGAACTTTGAAATAAGCAATGTTATATGTCCCATTTTAAAATATTGTCTTCATAAATAATGTGAAGCAAAAGATAAAACCTTCCAAGTGAGTGTTGCCAATTTTAAGTCCGCCCATGAGAGGAATATTGAGTTATAGTTAATGTACTGCTGGTGCAAATGATAGGCATACCATAATATTCTGAAACTGAAGTAATGGCCAAACGTTGTACTGTTACTGTCTTCATTTTTGATCTATGATGATATTTTAAGTTGTGTGTATATTAAATAGAATATGTTTAAACCTTTAGGCCAAGCATGAAGCTGGTAAAATTCAAAAAAGGGGACAGTGTGGGCCTGCGTCTGGCTGGTGGCAATGATGTAGGTATATTTGTAGCAGGTGTTCTGGAGGACAGCCCTGCAGCAAAAGAAGGATTAGAAGAAGGGGATCAAATTCTCAGGGTGAGTCAAACTTCCACAGATTGAAGGAATCTGTTCTATCAACTGTTGTAATATAGAACAAAATACCATTTTTGAACAGGGTGCACAAATATACTTATTAGTACTGAGCAATGTTGCATGATGCAGTTGTAAAAATTCCTGCAGTTTTTGCCTTGTTTTGTGGTAAATTATGGGTCTCAATTTTCGAAGTTCAAAATATGTTTTTTAAAACTAATGGATTGTTGACCTGTTCGTACAAAAACTCTCTAGTTAACATGTCTGTTATCTATTATGTCTATTAATTGTCTGTTAATAGTATTTTGCACCTTTCATTTATAAACTTTGAAGTACTTCATAAAAGACAGTTAAGTCCAGTTATCCCCTGGAATCTACTCCCAGTAAAGAGTACAGCTTGAACTACCAGTTTTGAAATAGAAGCACAGAGTGCTTTGTTTTCCCTGGAGTTAGCCTTGTAAATGGATTAAATTTTGTTACCTGATATGGTAATAAAGTATGCTTTTTGGGACCCCAACTAGCACTCATGTATTTGGGGAGCATTTAGTTGTATAATATGCTTGAATCAGCAAAACTGTGTAAAAAGTGTAACTAGAACATATAACTTTTGGGGGAAAAAATCTTAGATGTTGACAATTATGCATCTTAAAATGTAGTTTTCTTGTACTGCTTTTCTTTTTAGAGGATTTTTGTCATTACTGGCTATTTAGCAGGATGTTTATGATGTTAGTTGCTATTTATAGAGTTTGTGGAGAGAGGAAAAAAAAACCTGTCGGGGAAGTTTGAAATTGCAGTGGTTAAATATTAAGGAGAAATACCTTGTCGGCATGTGTGCGTAAATAATTGACTGTCTAATGTGGTAATCAAAATGTAAATGTTCAAATGTACTGTAATGTTTAGCTAGATAGTGTGAAAGACCTGAAATACTGGGTCAGATGGACCTATGGTCTGACCACTAAATGGCAGTTTTTATGTTTTTATGTGTAATAGAAAATTGCATGATACAGGAGTTTAAACTAATGATCTAATGTCTTCCATCTAACAATCTAAAGGTATAGCCCTCAATCTCTGATATTTCTAGATAGGTGATCTAGAAATCTAGATACAAACATATTAGGGGTGCACTGATAAAGATTTTTTGGGCCAATACCGATTGCCAATTATTAACAAGGCATATCGGCCCATCCCAATCTGATTGTTGATATGCATCCCAGCAGCTTGGAGAACAGCACCTGGGTGGTAAGTCTGAGGGGTGAAGGCCAATGGGGAGGGGCGGGGCCGGACGGAGGTCCCGGCAGGGAGTGAGGCAGTGGGGCAGGAGCAGGCATTGCCCAGTCAGGGCAGGAGCCACGAGCAGCTTGTCCAGAGGGGCATGGGGGT